AAAAAAAAATTGCGTGAACTACAATATCCTTCAATCTTTAATACTAAACTGAAGAGACAATAAATTAGGACCATTGAACATTACAAGGTGGAGTATTATTTTGTCTTGTTCAAATGTGACTTGTGGAAGGTAAAAACAAAAGAGAGAAACCACGAAAAATATGTCTAGGTTTTATCATAAGAATTTTGTAGGGGGAAAATGGTCGGGTGCGTTAACGAAGTAATCTAGAAACGTAATGGAAAAAGCAATGCATGTAATCTATGATCTAACCATTATTTTTTTTTTTACCGAAACCTCCATTTAGAATAGTTAATCAAATCCAAAATACTTATTAACGATCCTGTTCCGATACAAAATCGAGCATGGTTATATTAATTAGCGTCAGCATTATTTTGATATCGCCTCTATTGTGTACCTGTTGCAGTGGGAAATCTAGTAACAAAATATTACGTATCCTGTAAACACTAAAATCATGATCTTTTCAATGTTTCTCTCGTTTTAGCAAGGGCGCTATTAATTATAAATTCATAAGAAAACGTTCTGGTAATTAGTTACATTAAAATGTATTTTGAGAGTACAGCAGACTATAGGAGCATTTTGTAAAATTGGTTTAAAATGTTGCTATGCGAATAAATTTTAGGAGTACCAACTTCAGATTATTTTTTTCTGGCTGTATAACTCTTTGGAACACACCAAATATCCGTATATGTATGCAGCTAGATCAGACAAGTTCAGTAGTAAAATTCAATGGAATCAATTGATATGCAGCAAAGATTAACACTTTTGAAATTAAGTTACTATATTAAGCAATTTCAACGGACCTTATCCCGACGTTAACATTGAACGTGAATAGATCGAGAAGATCACAAATACATGTACAGAATTCGAGACAACCTTTTCTTCGAATTGTAAAACACATAGTCAAATATTTTAATGGATAACCTACTTTATAAAAATTTATCTTTAATTGTTTAACTTGACTTTTAAATTATTATATTCACGAAAAAACAATGTTTCTATATGAAATAAAAAAAAAACTGAAAACAACACGTTATATATTTTATGCGTCCGAAGCGCTTTTCTGGATTTTAATAATTTCAAGATTTATTAACTGACAAATTTAAAGTTAACGTGACAAAAGCAGACCGGTGTACTCGAAAACTTAAGACGTAAAAATAGGTATATCAGTTTGGAAAATTGTAACATGCCAAGGAGTTTGTGGAACGCTCAGAAAATTTTTGACGTGAAAGATATAATTTCTTTAAAAGGTATGATGGTTATTTAGAAATAACTTTTGATCAGTATCGTCACCGGCATTGTTTTACTGTTGATTTTCTCGACTTTTTCATAAGAAGAGTGAATTTTCTTTTGTTCTCGTTTTCGTACTCGGAGTCCGAGTCCGACAGTTATTATAAATCCTATGGCAATCAGCAGGGTTTAAGAACATCCGTTGTTCGACCTGTTAGTCAAATGCGTTTTGTTAAAATATACTTTTTCTCGGAGTCCGAGTCCGACAGTTGTTATAAATCCTATGGCAGTCAGCAGGGTTTAAGAACATCCGTTGTTTGACCTGTTAGTCAAATGCGTTTTGTTAAAATATACTTTTTCACTTTTTTGGTCTTTTGGAAAATGTTGTTTGTGCTGTATTTAGACCCTTCTACCAAGAAATTAGTTTTACATGCACACGTATAAAAATTGCGGTTTTTATTCAACGCAATCATAGGTTTGAACGTTGTTTTCAATTTAGACTTGTTTATATTTTTTCGTTTGGGCTTGTATTATATTTTCCTTCGGGTTTATATGATCCGTTCATCCTATTTCGACTCTTTAAAGTTTAAGAGTCTATCCTAAATTGAGGTAAATTATATGGCCTTCCAAATACTGTTTCGATCCCTAACATCACTGAAGAGACATTAATTGTCGAAATCCGGATATGGTGTACAAATTTTTTGCACCTCATGTTTGTGGTAAACCATCTTTTCCACAAGTTTATTGTTTTCTGTTTGGTATTAAATTAATATTAAGATCCATTTTGTTAATATGGTGATCAAATTATTTGGCAATCGCCATTGGCAGTCAGCAGGGTTTAAGAACATCCGTTGTTCGACCTGTTAGTCAAATGCGTTTTGTTAAAATATACTTTTTCACGTTTTTGGTCTTTTGGAAAATGTTGTTTGTGTTGTATTTAGACCCCTCTACCAAGAAATTAGTTTTACATGCACACGTATAAAAATTGCGGTTTTGCAGTCTAAATTGAAAACAACATCTAAACCTATGATTGCGTTGGATAAAAACTGCAATTTTTATACGTGTGCATGTAAAACTAATTTCTTGGTAGAGGGGACTAAATACAGCACAAACAACATTTTCCAAATGACCAAAAAAGTGAAAAAGTATATTTAAACAAAACGCATTTGACTAACAGGTCGAACAACGAATGTTCTTAAACCCTGCTGACTGCCATATATATATTAACAGACTACCTACTATTATTCGATTGACCTTATCTCAAATTATGTCCCTAATTACACATGCCAAGGGCAATCAAGAGGTACTTGAAGATTTTAACACCACATTAAATGAATAGTTCTTGTTAAAAAGATTTCTTGTGTCCGTGTCGGTGAAATGTAAATTTGTCATTATGTCTTCTTGTTTCTTTAATTTTCTATATTTGTACTGTTTTTGTCTTAAAACTCTTTAGTAACATGCAAATCATTATTGCCTTCTATCTATTTTTGTAAATTTTAATTATCCATGAAATCATTCCTTTCAATAGCGTCGTACAACTGCCCGACTTCTAATGTTGGCCGAGTTCCCGACTTTATTTTTTTTATATTACAATGTACCACTATACAGCAGCTGCGTCTTCGCGTCATCTCTATGTTATGATCAGCAAAATTACAGCTATCCTTTGCCAAGAAACCAGTGCTTCGCAACTGACATTTCTTAAATTTTCCGTTTCTAAATTTAAAAAATGATTAAGAGACTAAGGATCCAACTACCTCAGGAATAGTTGACCTAAGATGGTTTATGGCCATCCTTTTAAGGTTTCCTTTGGTTATAGAGGTCCCCAAGCATTAATCCATCCTTGTCTTTCAAATGCCCAAAGTTTAGTTTGCATGTTTTGTATCAAAAACAAGTTCAAGAAACTTTTCTTATAGGTATTGTATTTGTTGAAACACTTCACAATTCTTAATTTTTTGGCTGTTCCTTTCAGCAAACATTGCCAGTACATTTATATAGAACTGTCGATAGGCTTCAGAGAGGATATAAGGCACGGACCATTTAATTTTCATAGGGGGAGGGAAGGGGAGGGGCCTGGCATTTTATTTTAAGTCAGATTTATTTTTTACCATCCAATATATTTTTTCAGTCAATCCAAAGAAAGAATTTTTTTTTCAACATTCGTAAAGACAAAGGAATACGATATCATTAAACTTTTATTTTTATGGTATTTTTGAATATAAAACATAAATTTGTTCATAGCCAGGCAACGGCTTTGGTCCATTTGCTATTTTCTGTAGCCCAGTTACAACAAAACTATGAAGGTTTTAATACCCCCACAAACCAAGTTTGGGGTATATAAGAATCACCCTGTCTGTCTATCGGTCTGTCTGTCGGTCGGTCGGTCGGTCGGTCGGTCTGTTTGTCGGTCTGTCGGTCTGTCTGTCTGTCTGTCCATAGATCTTGTAAAGGCAACTCCTCTTAAACGCCTGGATGGAATTCAATGAAACTTCGCACAAGACCATCAGATGGAGATGTGCATGAAGAAATTTCATTGCTACAAGGGAAGATAATTAGACTTTTCAACAAAAATTTTCATTGATATAGTCAAAGAAAATTTTAAGCAAGCATAACACTTTCTGATAGCAAATGTCAAAATAGTCATATCTTCTTTTAGACTTGAAATAATCTAAAAACCAAACATTCAGTCAATAGAACATATTCTATCTAAATCACCACTTAAACCTTTATTATAAGTTTTTTTGGGATAGGGTACTTCTCGTGAGAACAAATCCTCCCTTACGCCTGAATGAATTTCAATTAAACTTCACACAAGTGAAACACATAATATATAAAAATGTGCATGAAGAAATTTGGTTGCAGTCAAATTGTTACAAGGGAGATAATTGGACTTTGAGTTTTCAAGAGTTGGATGGTTTCACCCTTTAAAGCTTGCTAACTGTACCTCTAGTTTCACTCTTTTGTGGCTTAGTTAGATTTTTATGGAGCAATCTTGGCAATAATTTGAAAAATAACTTTGCAACCAACTGGATGATAAGTTTTTTTTATCTCAATGAAATAAACCAATATGTTCTTAAAATGTTATAATATTTTAATATGTCTGTTCTTCTGTTCAAATAGCATTGAAAAGAAATACACAGGAAAGATATCGAGAAGACCTCAACACCTGAAATCACAAAACAAGATTAGATACGACATTTTGTACTCTGGGTATGCATTATTATTGTATTGAAAGACAAGTACATGTACAGTTTATCTAGTAGGATCAAATCAGCGAGCGAAGAAAACAATTACATCATACTTGTCATACTTGCTGAAGATCAAGTTTTTATCAACTTTAAGGCCATTTGTTTTTCTTTTATAAATATGGAGGCCAGCTTATTTTTTTAAAAAACCCAACCCCCCTTTCCGATAAGCAAATGTTCCGTGCCTATCTACTGTTAATAGAAGAGCTCTGTAACTAGGTTACTGAAAGGTATTACATCATGTATAATAATTGCTTTTATATATGAAAAATCTGAGGACTTTATCTCAATAATTAAAAAAACAAATCAACAATATTTAAAATATGATCTGAGGAGGTAATATTTTCAGTATATATATTCAGTTTTATAGTTTTTATAATATCGACTTTTAAAAATAACATACTATGCAATTTAGATAAAATAATTAACGTCATGAGATTACACAACACAGGAAAGGTCATACACCTGACTACCGGGAATTTTCCTCTTCTACTTTCACTTTCGATTTTACGAAAAGTGTATAAACAACTACGTTGTGCTGCTATGTAACTGTAAACATGGTGTCAGGTATGTTTCCACCTATAGAAATCATTGTAGAAAATTGTATAGATTTAAGAATGGTGAGTAGCTTTAATTTCAAACCAAGCTAGATACTACTAGACAGACAACAGCACACTTCCATGTCACTTGAACCAGTGGCGGATCCAGGAAGGTGGGGAGGGAAATGGGGGGGGGGGGGGGCAGTTCTGGGGATTGGAACCCCCTTTTTGTTTGACAACTAATGCTTTTGTATGGGGACATATGGTTAGAACCCCCTTTTTATATGACTTGCATGTGATGGAACCCCCTTTTAAAAATGGCTGGATCCGCGCTTGACTTTATATGTGATACAGTGACAATGTGGAAATTCATTTATAGTTTTTAGGTGTGTTCAGATCGTCATGGTTTGTCAGCGAACGGCAGTACATCATACAATATAAAACTTAAGTCTTTGTCCTATGAAAATGACGGTCATATAAAACTTCGCACTTTATACAATATATACTTTAATCGACGCTTTAACACCCCAATAAAATTACAAAAAGAAGCATCCAATTTTTAATCATGGAGCTAAATGGTTGTCTTGTGCTATATTTTATAGTACGTTCTTTGATTCTTCTTTTACCCATTGCAGTGACGTAGGAGTAGACTGCATAATGTGAGTGGGGCAAACTTCTGAAAGTGACAAGGAAAAAAAAACAAGAAAAAAATCATCTAAGGGAGCTACCATTTGATTTTTATGGGAGGGGGGGGGGGGGGGCAAAAAAAAAAAGGCAGGATAACATAATGAAAAAAAGGCAGGACCGAATAGAGTGATAAATAAAAAGGCAGGACAGAGATTACAACTAAAAAAAATGCAAGACAACATTTTTCATCATAGCCCCCACCCCTATAAAAATCAAATGGTAACTCCCTAAGTAAAGTCTAATAGAAGTTAGTCTCGACTTTCAGTTTCATTTTATCATTTTCAATAATTTGTTTTCCCAAACATTTTGTGTTTGTGTGTGGGCCATAGTTTGCCACCCCCACTTTTGAAAGGGGATGCAATCGGCTAACACACACACCTATGTGTTACTATTTATCGGACCCAGATAAAGATTGAGGTTTTATAAAAAATCAACTATAGTTTAAACTTGCAACATGTTCATATGCCTATCCAAAGTCTGAAACCCCATGATTGTCTATAATTTGATATTTTAATATCAATGTTGTTTTTGATCGTTTATGGAATTTGTTCTTAATGACAAATTTTAATTTTAGAGGAGGGGCCATTTTGAGATTGACATATTGTGTAGGCACTAAAAATATTGTCCTTTATTGACCTTTTTAAAGTTAGTTATTTTATTTTTGTTTACTTATTTTGTCGTTGGGTCTCTGTTTTATTGACGTACACTACATATTTCAGACCTTTATTATTCACACCCACTAACTTTCCTTGCTAATCCCATTTTCATATGCTTTAGTAACTTGGTTGTTCCTTTTCAGTGACCTTTATACTGGCCTTTGGAAGACAAGATCAGCCAGGAACCAGAAGAAACAGAGAAGGTACCGTACGAGAGCAACAGACGATCAAAACTTTAACCAGCATAAATGGTTATATAATATAATTCTTTCTTAATACGCGAAGACTTATATGAATAAAAATTGTATATTAACCAAAGGTAATCAAATTTGACTTCTTTCCTCATTTAAAAAAAAAATGTAATAAAATACTGTAGGAAAAAAAAATCTAAAAGGAAGGAGCTTGTAAACTTACGATGGCCGAGGTGAGCCGACAAAAATATACTTTTTAAATCCCGAAATTAAAAACAATAGTGGTTAAATGTTCAAAGAAAATCTTTGTGCAGTTTACTACTTCTTACCAGGAAGTAAAAACAACAGTACTGTACTTAATTTATACATTTTACTACTAGAAAGTACTTGAGAAATATGACGCATTCCTATGTGGCTGGCAAGATCTGATTACCAGTTAAAATTATAAGAATAAAGAGATGTAGTATGTTTGCCAATGAAATGATTAGTAAGATGCATTTGTTATTATTTGCTTTCCTCTACAATGTAACATGTTTATACTAACTGGGAGGCATCATGTAGTTTGGGTATGTAGATGAATAGAAATATATATATTATATATAGATCCATATGCAAGAGACAACGACCTTAAAGATGATGTAGTGTACTAGAGTTTATTATTATGAGTAGAAAATTCAATACTGTAACTATTTTATCGTCGTTAACTGCATGCAGACATTATGTGTTTCATGCGATACTTCTGTTCCAACAAATAAATCATTTTGAATTTTAGGAATTAAGCCCAACCAATATCGTAATTGATTATCAGTGTAAGCAATATTTATATTTTCCAACCTGATTCGATTCGTCTTTTTCTGGAAATAAACATTTCTTTTTGGACTTTCTCTGAAGGGATGTGGCCACACGTAGGCAATGTAGTAAAGTTTATATAGTATACAGTTTTGATTTACCGTTATAAAGGGATCAAAAGCAAATAGAAGACACAATCTAATTTTTTTAATCCAATTTTGCTGTATTTTCTTAATGCAACTTTCCTCTGCGCTGTTAGGATTAATAAAATGAGAAAGGGGAGATTTTAAGTTTCCTTGGTTAGGTCTGTTTCTCAAATACTATAATCAATAGGTCCACTTTAATCGACACATGTATACATAAAGATCGTGCTTGTCCTTCTCGCAAGGTTTATCTGACCTTATGCTCATGTTTCTGGTTCATTGGTCAGTGATAAGTTTTCGTGCATGGATAAGTAGGATTTTCAGATACTATAAGCAATAGGTTAACTCAATTAGTGTATGGATGGACTGTCAGGTGTACATGTCTGTCTAGCAAGGTTCATCTGACCTTAATCGACCTGATTTTCATGGTTCATTTGTCATTGTTCAGTTGTAGTGGTAAGGTCCGTTTCTTAGCAATAGATCAACTATATTTTGTGTATGGAATATTCTAATATGTTCGTGTCAGTCTGGTTGGGTTTATCTGACCTTGACATCATTTACATTGATTATTGATAATATCAAGATTATGTGATTTTTGTAGTAAAACCTATATCATAAATACGTTCAACTTAAATTCAATCTAATCAGTAAATCGGCGATACATGCCCGAAAGTGTACTGTTTGATAGATTTGGGAAGTAAAGTGGCAAAAATGATTGAATGATGTGATTTACATTTTTTCTTATTATTTCAGGTCATTATTGATTTAACATTTTAAAGAATCGAACAGCAAAGATGTCTTTCAAAAGTCCTGGAAATTGTTTGACATCTAGACGCATATTGGAAATGTTTGAAAATAACATAGACGAGAAAGAATTGTTGCTCAGTCTAACATCGACTAACAATTTAGAATATTTTATGAATAAATCTGATTTGAAGTGGGAAACAATTTCTGCTTTTGTACACATCGTAAGCACGGCCCTTGGTGGCAGAGGTAATGCGGACTTGATGTTACGGCTGTTGTGCGATATTTCAGATTCAAGCCTTCTAGGATTCGATGGCTTGAGCTTACTACAGCAGTATGACGAACATCTAGAATGTTTTCATCCACTAAACTGTCTCTTAGATGATTTTATTCTGATAATTCAGCAGCTGTTTATGAGAACACCAAGTTCTGCAATTACACCACAGACAATTGGATTAATTGATTTTCTTAACCAAAAGATCATAACCAGCGACTCTTTAGTTGAAAAGGAAACAAAACTCAATAACGTTTCGAAATTAAGACAGGATATAATTCACACCTTAACAGAAAAGGCCAAATGTAAGACGATATCAAAAGTTGAAGAGGACTTTGAGGATAAACTGTTACCACCAGACGATTTTCGTAGACTTCCCATCATACCGAGCGATCGAGACGTATTTGAACCTACCGAATTTCTTCGTCGAAACAAGTCAAAAGGGCAATATTTAAACCTTGAACATTATCTTGATGTTCAGTTTAGATTATACAGAGAGGATTTTATTTGTCCTCTTAGAAGCGCGGTGAAAGAGTATATGCAAATAAATCAAGATGAAAATCAACCACGTGGTCGTCATATTCGGTTAGAAGATGGAAGGTTATATCGTAATGTACAAATTTTAGGGACCACGTTATCACCTGAGTTTGGATCGGTTTATGAAATCAAACTCGATTATCAACATGTAAAGAAAATAAACTGGTTTACCTCAAAGAGACTTATCTATGGGTCTCTTGTCTGCCTTTCATTTGATAATTTTCGCACAGTTTTATTCGCAGTTATAGTTGATTCTGACAGAAATCATTTGGAGCGGTTAGGTATATTCAAAGCACAAATATTCACAACAAGAAATCACCAAAATATCCCACGTAACATCAACGGTGTAATGATTGAGTCATCATCAGCATATTTTGAATCTTATCGCCATGTTTTGGCGGCCCTAAAAAAGGTTAAAGGGCAAATACCATTCAAAAGATACATTGTCGATTGCGAAAGGGATATTTTCCCACCGAGTTATATTAGAGAAGGGTCTCACACTTATAACTTCAAACCTATCACGAAACAAAGTGATTGTGTGAATATTATGAATATTGAAGAATGGCCTAGTATGGACGATTTACACCTTGATGCTGCTCAATGGGAAGCATTTCATGCCGCTTTAACCAAAGAGTTCGTTGTAATACAAGGTCCCCCGGGTACAGGCAAAACCCACATAGGATTACAAATTGCTAAAATACTACTGTACAACAAGAGAGTTTGGAGTGATCGGAATGTTTTAATGGATGAACACATGTTATACAGAAGAATTCCGGATGATGAAGATATGTTTGAATATGAGTGTAAAAATTCTGTCATGGTTGTCTGTTTTACAAATCATGCCTTAGACCAGTTCCTTGAAGGAATAATAAAATTTCAAAGTTTCATTCCGAAGGAAGATATTGTCAGAATAGGGAGTCGATGTAAAAATCCATCAGTTGAAAAGTTTACCTTATTTAAACATCGATCGAAGTTCCTATCGAACTATCGCAAAACAGCTTACAAACTACAACGTATGAAAAACATAGATAGCAACACCATTACACTTGTTGACAGATTGAAATCACGCATGATGCAAATCAAATCAAGATTAACGGCTATTCAAAATAAACACATTGTTCTTGGCTTCATTGTTTTAAAGACTGTAATTTCCAGCGATCATAGAAAAGAATTCGGAGAAAAGCCAGACAAGAAATTCTACCGATGGCTTCAAGTTACGGAAGAATTTTGGTACCAAGAAGTTGAGAAAATCTATCAAGGACGCCCAAATGGTTTAACAGGCCGAGACATAAATAACCACATTACTGACGATGATGCAGTTTATATTGATATTACAAGTGAAGCAGAATTCGAATATGCTGAAAGACACATAGAAGATGACGAATACGATGAAGCAGGTAGTACCGAAAATTTAGGTTTAGACATCATAAAACAGCTAAAGAAAAACGAAAAGAAAAATATTGAGGAAAGGTGTCGTGACGTATTGCGCAATGAGGCAGAAAAAGTGAAACAAAACATCAAATTTGGAGAAAAGATTATCAAAGAAACAGCAGAAATCATCACAAATCTCTGGGAACTAACTTTAGAAGATCGCTGGAAGTTTTATCGTTTCTGGGTCTCCGAGTATATAAAATCAGAAAAACAACAACTGCTAGACACTGAAGAACTAATCAGTGCATTGTTTGATAGATACAAAAAAGCTAAACTTCAAATTGATGAACTGATTATGAGCAAAGCATCTGTTATTGCACTGACAACAACGGCTGCAGCCCGATATTACGATTCTCTAGCAAAACTGAAACCAACAATTACAATTATAGAGGAGGCTGCTGAAGTATTGGAAGCACATATTGTTACAGCCCTCAGTCAAAATTGTCAACACGTCATTCTTATAGGTGACCACAAACAACTGGAACCTAAACCAGCTGTTTACGAACTTGCAGTTAAATACAATTTGTCGGTCTCTCTTTTTGAAAGAATGATAAATAACGATTTACATTATTATTGCCTGCAAAGACAACATAGAATGAGACCTGATATTGCAGATCTGGTCAGACATATTTATCCTACTTTGGAAGACAACGAAAATGTAACTTATTACGAAGATGTTAGAGGAATTCGACAGAATCTTTACTTTATCAACCATTCGAGCCCTGAAGTTTACAGCGATGATGGAAGAAGTTATTCCAATGAATTCGAAGCTGAATATGCAAAAGAATTATGCAGATATTTGTTGAACCAAGGCTACAAGCCTAGTCAAATAACGATTTTAGCAGCCTATTCAGGTCAGATGTATTGTATTCAAAAGAAAATGCCTAAAGCAGAATTTGAAGGTGTCACCATATGTGTTTTAGACAACTATCAAGGCGAAGAAAATGAAGTCATCATCTTGTCCTTAGTCAGAAGCAATCAGAACGAGGGTATAGGGTTTCTTAATAAAGAAAACAGGATATGCGTTGCATTATCTCGAGCCAAGAAGGGACTGTACATCATAGGCAACATCGATACTCTGACAAAGAAATCCAAACATTGGCAGGTTATATCTAATAAACTAAAAAGTAAAAACGGTATCGGCAAAGGTTTGTTTTTGTATTGTCAAAATCACCCCGAAAAGCAGGAAATTCAAGCAATATCTCCATTGGACTTCCTAAAAGCCCCTGATGGTGGATGTGGTATTCTCTGTGAGTTTAGGCTGGATTGTGGTCATGCATGCCGATTTAGATGTCACAATTTTGATAGGGATCATACCGAATATAAATGTATGAAAAACTGTCCAAGGACATGTCCGGACGAACACCAATGCCGTAGAAGATGTCACGAACCCAATCCATGTGAATGCTCTGTACAAATAGAAAAACAACTTCCATGTGGACATATTAACCTAGTAAAATGTTATATGGAGCCATCAGAGCATAAATGTAATACAGAAGTAGAGAGACTTCTCAAATGTGGCCATACCGCTATAATGCATTGTCACACAAAAGTTGACAGCTTTAAGTGTAAAGAAAAAGTAATCGATACGAGATCTAAATGCAGTCATGAATACGAAAAAGAATGTCACAAATCTAAGCGTGTATTCGAAGATGAAATCAAATGCTTGATACAAACAGAAAAGACCTTCAAGACGTGCAAACACAAGATAATCGTAGGATGTCAAACTGATTTAGATAAAATAAATTGCAAGGAATACGTCACAAAGAAATTCAACTGCGGACATACAGTTGAAGTAGTTTGCTATCTAGCAAAAAATGTAACTTGCAAAGAAAAATGCACAAAGGTTTGCGACAAACTTCATGTGTGTAATAGGATATGTCATTATCCTACTCCATGTAATTGTTCCGACATTATAGAAAGAGTCATATCCGGATGTCAGCATGTACAGAAAATGGCTTGTTCAGAGGACTTGAACACGTTTGAATGTTTGGAAATTGTACACAAAACCTTACCAACATGTGGCCATGTAAACAAGGTAGAATGCTATAAAAATCCAAAGGAGATTTGTTGTTCATTTGATATTAAAAAGAAAATGCCTAACTGTCAACACGAACAAATCCTTCCATGTAGTGTAGATCCGGTATTAGACCATGTCAGGTGTATGTCGAACGTTGACGTATACTTAAAAACATGTGGACATTCTCTCAGCGTTAAGTGTTGGGAATCAAAAGAGGAAAGGGAAGAATCAGCTTTACAATGCAATGTAGCAGTTCCATATACTTATTCGTCATGTAACCACACAACCAATATCCCATGTAGTATGAAACAAGTCATCGATAAAATCGATACTGCAGAAAACCCAATGAATACGATTGATATACCTTTATGTTGTCTTCACATTTCGCAAAAATTACCCTGTGGGCATTCGATTCAAATTGAATGTCATAGAGCTGGACTTCCTATAAAATGTACTTCAAAATGCCAGAAACTGCTTTCATGTGGCCATATTTGTACGCATCTTTGCATTGAATGTCAGGACGGCATGATCCACAAAATATGTCAAAGAAAATGCGAAAAGGAGCAGCTATGTGGACATAAATGCAACGGTTACAATTGTCTACATTGCAAACCTTGCAACAAACCATGTACTTACGCTTGTGATCATAGAAAGTGTACCAATACGTGTAGTCAACCATGTAAACCGTGTAAACAACCGTGCGTCTGGCAGTGCCCTCATTCAAAGTGTTCCAAATTATGTAGCGAAATATGCGACCGTCAAAAATGTAGTCAACCATGCAAAACGATTCTAGGATGTGGACACATATGTTCTGGATATTGTGGCGAGCCTTGTCCAGATTTCTGTATAGAATGCAAACCAAATCAGGTTCCGGACGATAGGAGCTATCTATATTCAAAATTTTGTAAAACCGTAACCCTGAAGGATTGTGGTCACACATTTATGGATACAATTTTAGATGCATATATGAGGAAATCAAAAGATGCTCTTGTTATAAAATGTCCAACCTGCAAAACAATCATTCATAAACATCCAAGATATGATCGTGTCCTCAAATGTAAAAAGCAGTTTATGGAAGAAGCTAAGAGCAAGATTTTGGAAAGGAATACCGGTCGTCAAATTACATTTCCTTGTTATAGTGGACACGTTGCCGAACTTATAAATACGTATCTAAAAAGATTTGCAACCTACAGACAAATTGTTAAGTACTTGAATTATGATCAAAACTTTGTTGACAATTTATCGTTTACAACTTGCATTGCCAATAGAATACACGATACTGTTAACAGGGATTTAAGTCATATACATAGTTTTGAAGACTTGTTTCAGGAAATCTACAAATTACATACTCTTTGGGTCGTAACAATATGTTCAAGTAAACCGGACGTTTTGGAAGCCCCCCTTGACGACGAACGTGTTGCTGGACTTTTCAAAGACAGCAAAAAGCATAGCCATTTAATTGACACTGATGTTCTTCTTGATATAAAACATGACTCCTTTACCGCTGCAGGAGCAAGACCAAAAGATACAACAAAAACGACCAACATTAGCATTAATGGGAACGATGTAGTAAACTTGATAAAAACACGAATTGTTCGAGCTGAATATGATCACCAACATATTGATGAGTTACTTTCCCTTCTTATCACAAGCCTTGACAGAATTGAGGAGGATGCGCATTTAATTAATGCTAAATCATATCCTGTCCTACGAGATAAGATGGGGATTCATCAGGATGAGTGGGCCATATGCAGAAAAGGTCAGTACATTACACACACACACGCACATGCACACACTCACTTACGCACACACATCATATCATGAATGTGAAATAAAGATATTAGATTGTTTAATATTTTTATTCGTCGACCCTTTAAATAGTAGAATATCAAGTAGAAAAATACCTCTTATGATATACTCATCAAAGATACCAGGATTAAAATTGTGTACTCCAGATGGCGTTTCGTCTACAAAAGAATCAAAAGGGCCAAATAGAGTACTACATGTAAGTTTAAGAGCATTGAGGACCTGAATTTCTGTAAGGTTTCAACTAAGTTACATTTGTAACAATGGGAATTTTGAAAATATACATTAGAATTCATTTCACATTCCTACAATTTCGCGTTTATCTAGCTTCTTATAGTTATTTTTTATTGCAAATGTGTACTTTATTTAAGCTTCTATACGTTTGAAATATCAGGACAAACTCTTTTGCTTAATAACTGTAATGGCTGGTGTCGTCAGTAAACGCATGATGATGATGATGATGATGGACTTCTCATCAATTGTAGTATTTCATTTGAACATAAACACATATAATTTGTCTAATTTACTTATGGTTTCCTTTTTAAAGGTCATATATACTCTATAACCAACGATAGCATAACGTGTTGTGTATGCCGAGAAGCAAAGACTAAAAAGCAACCCAAAGAATCCGTGGCACCAGACGTAACTAAATTGGACTTTCAAAAAGATACAAGGAGTTCCCAGAAACAAATACAACTTTCCTGGTGCGAAATTAGAAACCAAGTTTCAGACCAAACTCACTTTAAACAAGCACAAGACAGATCGGTTGAAGGTAAAGAACAGATGAAAGAATCCAGATTCGCAATTAATGAAAGAACAGTAAGAAGTAGTACACCCCAGAGAAGACCAAGAGGTAACTTTAGAGGTCGCTGTCGCTCAGCCAATGAAGGAAAACGTGGAAATCGTTCAATGTCACTTAATGATTTTATTACGCCGTTATCTAGTGAACATATCAAATTAAGCTCCCATCCGAATCAGTCAACTGGAATTTCCGATGAATCACAGAACATGATGAGCGCAGAGGAACAAGAAGACTTTCCAACTTTGACTAAAATTGATAGGAAACCAGAAGGCAATCTCAAATTTTACTGTCCAAAGAAAGATAATCCGACCATAGCAACCACAAAACAACAGAAACGAAAAAAGAGACGATGATTATATTCACATTATTATAGTGAACCATACTTTTGACAGCAGGAACAACCAAGTGTACAAATACTTTTCGCTGTAAATTTTTAATTTATATTTGCTTTTCCTTCACGAAATTCTAGTCAATCAAAACTTCAACATTATAATGTCAGAGTCAAAGAAACACATATAAGGGAGCAACCACTTAAGGGGGAGGGGGGGGGGGGCAGTTATGAGTTTTTGTCTGAGTCAGAAATCTTTTTTCGCCAACATTTTTTTTTAGTTTTTCGACGCTATCAATCAAATTATTTTTTTTCAAAATTTAACACTATAAGGAATGGCGAAAATCTGGATTCAGAATTTATTTTTGTCATCTGCTTGACCACAATTTTTTTTAGGGAAAAACCATAACCCCCCGCCTCCCTTTCGGTTGTTCCCTAATCTGGGGTAGAATGTTGGTACACATTTGTTATCTTATGTTTATTTAATGAAGCACTTGTGTGTATCTGGATGGATTTTTACACAATGTACTTAGTCTAGTTTTGCGTTGATTGACATTTTTTTTAAACATTTAAACAAATACTTGCATTTCACTTAATTTTTTTATTACACGTTTTTTCATTATATAATTTCACTAAACTGAAAGATATGTACATGTATCTGTGCCTTAATTAATTTGTGTTACATTTTCTTTGTCCTTTGAATATACAATTTTCTGATAATTTAGTTTATTCAATGCACGATAAAGATGGTATCTAATTTATGAACACCTTTTTGCATAAACAAAATAAAATCGTGCCGGAGCGAATGTTAATATTTAGCAACGGTTATAAATTGATTTGTAAGTCACAATACGGGAAAATTCAGTTCTTTACAAAAAAAGTCCATGGTTTTTGCATTTTTATTTTATGGTCTTCAAAAAAGCACAATTGGTAAAGCTCAGTATATTTTTCAAAATTTCCAAAACAGACTAGTGTAGAAGGTATTGCAGGGACTAAATCTGATAGAAATTCAAAAGGTATACAATTGTTTGGATAATATTCATTCAATAACTTAAATCTACTATGATATAAAAAAATCTAATTAATTGATCATTTATACAATTTGTATTAGTTTGCATCTAGTGTTTTGTCTACTGTAGTTTGTCAATTCGTCTTTTGCCAAAAATATGGGTCATAATTTTGCGAGATTTTATATAAAAATTGCCCTCCTTTTTAATGACATCCTGTATTAAAATGCATTTAGTTTGATAACTGTATATTGATTTGGAGTATTATCTATATATCATATATAAATATGCTATTGAGAATCTTACATTATTAAAAGTCAATTATTGTATTAATTAAATCAATTAATTTGAAAGTTCACCTTTCAAATAAGTTCCCAAATGAACCCCGGAACTTTAAATATTGTATATAAGTATAGGCCATTCTTTCTAAAATATTTATATAACTATAGGTACTGAATTTTAGTGAATGTTATATTAAAATGGGTACGTTTTTTGAGGCAAAAATGGCACACCCCTACCAAAATTATATCGAAGTTACCCCCCTGTGGTTAACATGGGGCTGTAAAATTCCACTTGCCGAAGAAAGACTGACACCACCATTTCCAACAGAAATCAAAGTAACTAACAAACACTAGTTACAGTTCACAAAAACACTACACTGACAACTAAAGACCCCATCAATAACCTAGGGTTGACTCATGTGTTCCGGATAAGTAAGCAGCACCTACTCTACTAGTGGCAGCCATTGTGTTTCTTGTTTCAATTAAAATGCTTGTGATAAGTTGCATTCAGTAATGTCATAAAAATTTACTCAAAAAACAAATTACATTTACATACATGTATATGGTTTAGACATTAATTGATAAGAACTTCTTGGCTTATTTTTATTATCTTTTATAGACACATTTTCTCAAATCATGATTAATTATTTCAGTAAGATAAGTTAGATAGATTCCAGTGTACTATACATGACATAGAAGTTTAATTCTACAGGAAAACTAAACATTTTTCATTTAGTACTGTCAAACTAATATGCATTTGTTATTTCTGCCAATGAAATGTCAAATCACTAAATCAGCAACCATACATCGTAATGTTCTGAAGGGTCTCCTAAGATTATTTAGCTGAATTATACATTCTCCTGGTCTGGTCTCTTATTATCTAATTTAGAGATAACATCAGTTACCTGAAAGACAACCATATATCAAAAACATTACTTCTGTCAAATGATTTACATTTATATAATAGAAAAACAAAGGATATGGGGTACCCATCCATGACACAAAATTAGTACATGCACAGGAAAAAAAAACACAAAAAAAACCCACACACACAAAAAGCAAAGGAACAACGCTTTTATTGCTGTTCTTCATCTCAAAGTCTCATTGAGGCCTTCAACACAGAGCAAATAAACTTTTACCTCACTGCAAGTTTAAGACGGCCCCTTGCACCGGCTTAAGCGGAATTCTTTGCAAAAATAATTCGGATAGATTGTGTAAGATGTAACACCATTAAATCGGGCCCGGTCAAAAAAGAACGCACTAGAAAGTAGTGCATGTTAAAAACAAAATAGTTCCTACACATAGGTGTAAATATCAAACTATATAGAATATATTCTGATAATTTAGGTATCAAATGAATGGTGAAGGACGGGTGATCCTTGAAGAATACATTTTGACTGATAATTTTGAATAGTACACATTTTGACTGATAATTTTGAATAGTACAAAAATATATGAATGAATTCTAGAATCGAGGGCATATACATGTATTGCCTGTTTGATAGATATGAAGTACCTGGTTTGGTGTATCCAAAATTCCGATAACCAGGGCCCTTGGCAATAAAACTTTACTCAGTACTCGGAGTACAAAATTTGTGCTCGAAAAACCAAATCCAGTATTTTGATTGGTTGATTTCTGAGTCCGAGTACAATAAACGTGCTCGAAAGTTTTATGATCGTAAGGCCAGTACGGTCTGATGTGTAAACAACGGTAAATTGATCCCGCTCCCAATAAATGTTTGAAAGTGACAATATTTTAACGTGGATGTCTTTTAAAATAGTATGCAAGAATAGTAGCAAGATGTAAGTGATTACAAAATAGAAAGTTTTCCTGTAAAAGAAGTGACAATATTAATTCAATTTACGGAGATATATCAGCACTATGTCATCCATTGTAGTTTTGAAGTATAAAGAAATATTCTCATGAAATAGTCTTGTAAAAAAATAAAAATAAAAATGACGCGAGAACATTGTTCTTGTTTTATTTGTATTTCAATACAATTTCATTACATATGCTTCGTTTTGATTTGATTTAATGTTAGTTGCTTATGGATAACAGAATACGTAGCGTAAATGTCAACGAGACAGCACCCCACCACCAAACAAATCAAAACTCAAACAAAAAGGACATCTTAATATGGTCACAATACCGTCTCAACAATAGACCTACTAGTATATCATGTAGTGTATCTAAATTGCTCCGAGTCTAGGAAAGCTGTAAAAGATATACAATATATGTACATTGTCGGAAAATATAAAATTTATTTGTACGAGCTTTAGAAACAGGACGAAAAGCGAAGCTCGCTGAGCTTTTCTCCTGTTTCATAGCCAGTATGAATACATTTAATATTTCCGACAATGTACATATATTGTTTTTATCCTGCAATTTACACCTGGAACTTGAAGCTCTTTCGACAAAATATACAAATATTGTATATGTACTTTGTTCATTATTATATGCTTGCAATTTCCCGAAGGGATAAAGTTGCCGAGATTTCAGCAAACATCTATTACATGTAAAATCTATTGGCAGCTTCATAACGTTGATCTCATACGGACATAAGAAAATACATGTAATTACTCGATTACGAAATTTGCCTCTTTAAAGTCGAGCCTTATGATTAATAAACGAAAAATATTTATATTCTACATTTATTTTACATTAAGCCAATTTAAAATCTTGAGCGTTAAATGTCGAATGACTCGTGCAATTTTTATTGTCTTATACTTGTATATGAAATAATAAACAATGTATGTACATTGTCGGAAAATATAAAATTTATTTGTACGAGCTTTAGAAACAAGACGAAAAGCGTTTATCGAGCATTTCTCATGTTTCGTAGCGAGTACAAATACATTTTATATGTTCGACAATGTACATATATCGTTTTTATCCTGCAATTTACACCCGGCACTTGAAGCTTTAGTTGTTTAAATCCAAATTTCTAAAAGTATCTAATTTTCCATAGAAATCGGCATAGTTTAAACGCGGACCCTGAAATGAAGTGTTACATAAAAATAAATATTCACATTACCACAGTTGCTCAACATTGAAGCGGGGTAACAGGAGTACAGATAAATTTTATGTTTTCCGACAACGAACATATATTGTTTTTATCCTGTTATTTACACCCGGCACTTTACGGTTTAGTTGTTTAAATCCAAATATATAGTTGTCTCTGATTTTTTTTTTAAATCAACGGAGTTTAAACACGGACCGTAAAGAGGACCCCAAAATGATCTGTCACCCAAAAAGAAATATTATCATACCCGTTTGCTCAATATGGAAATGGCGTAACAGAAGACGTTATTTGTACAAGAAGAAATAAACAAAACAATATTTGTGTATCTGTTATTTGTAAAATAGTTTGTTGATTGCAGGATAAAAGGAAATATTGGGTTAACCTCAATAAGACAGCAACCCAATGGCACAAATAACAAAAAGACGTTTAAATAAAAACGTACCCATTTATGTATCTGCGCCGCTGCTGCATTTTTCTTCATTGTTTCTTCGTACGAATACTTCTTAATGATATGCAATGCCCTTTGTGCATTTTCCCGTTTCAGTGAACTTCCAGTGTCTTTTTGGATAGCAATTTTGTGTTTTGCTTCTCTAGAAATGGCTTGCAAATCATCTACTGTCTTTGAAAAGAAATACAAATATTTTTACAGTTACACAACATCTATAAAAATTGCTATAAACCCACTCAATCTTATATTTTTAATCTCTCTAAATGGTCTAATTTGAACAACATGTACTTGTGATTGACTGTCTAATTACTGTTTAATTGAGTGCAGTAACATTCGAAAGATTGTGCAGGATTGAACCAGAATTTACAGCATGTCATATCGTCAACATGTGTTGCACTCAATTAAAATAAAATTTTCATTAAACTCAAAATATCTGTATAATGAGGGAACAACAAAGTAGCCAACAAAATTAATAAGTAGAATACTAATAAGGATGAGAGTTATGGTATGACGTGGAAATTTCTTCAGCTCATCCATGTTGCTTAATCCGTAGTGTTCTGCTTTTATTTTTGTCTTTCCTTCGACGACTTTGTATTACATCCTTTGTATCACCTTTTTTAAACATCGAAATCGGTACAATACGCTTATGCTATAGAAATTGAAACAAATGTTACCTATACATTTACCTCTATTTCTTTCTGTTTGTCACCAAAAAGTACAGACAAAGCACAGAGAGTATTCGCGACCTGCTCATTGGTTACGTGTGTATGGTTGAATTCACCCACAGCATGCAGGATATCTGGTAACTGTTGTGTGAACCCTTCTAGTGAATTTAGTTGCGAGGCGAACTCTTCCAGATGTCTTATACTTTCTGTAAATATTCTTTCATATTGAGACTTGTGTAGCCTTTCAATCGTCTTCTCTGTTGTAATTAAATGCCTTCTCATATAGGCATCATGGATATCTGAAATAAAAATATCTTTAAAGGTACTGTTACTTTGGCCCCTCCTACAATTTATAGACAAGTGCGAGTTTGTAGTGACTTCTCAGATTTTGATAGTTTTATAGACTTTGCTTACAGGGCGTGACTCATTAAAAGGAGGCCTTCACATTTTTATAAAATTATAACATTTAGTAATATGTATGACAACCGGAAACATACAGCCAAAATATTTAAGTTCGAACTCAAGTTTATATTTGCGTACAGTAACAAGTTGACATCCATCGCATGCATACATGTACACTATGAATATTAAAAAAGTAAGTCCAACAATAGATTTTTTTTGCAATTATGTCCGGTTGCCTGACTTAAATTTTGACGAATGTCGCGAGGAATTCGGCAAAAATGTGGCACCTGTTTTGTGTAACGCACAACAATTGCAGTATCGAATTCAATGCCTTCCTCTTTCTTAGACTGCTTATATACAATGCAGATGTGCACCGTACTATTATTCATGTACATGTACATGTTTTATAAAATACGATAATGCTATGTAAAGCTGGGTGTTAAGTAGCATTTTTTGAATACCTAAAATTCAAATCATTCCACTCTATGTCGCTGTATTTGACAATGTTTAAATAAAGGTTTACGAATTTATTATATCTAAAACCTTTTTATTAAAGGTTTCGGTAATGAAAATCTTTTATATATTCCAACGTTTAAATGTTACTGCAAACACGTGCTTTTTCTGAATAAAAAAAAATAATAGGATGTAACAGAACAGTACCGACAAGGAAAGGAATATTAAAAACAGGTTGCCAATGTAGCTATAATACCAGTGTAAAGTTATAATGACATGGTGTTGTGCGTCTAGATGTTTAATTTTGTTGGCTTTAAATCATACATTGAACGGTCCCATCTGACATTTTGTTCTGGTCCTAAAATGCATGAAATAGTATGCAACTAGGCTTTAAGCAAGCAAGCATCAATAGTTCAGTCAATAAGTTTTCAGTTTTAATTACGATATTACACTTGAATGTAAGGGGAGATACATCATCGTATAATGCTTTTGTACGAAAGCTTTTATATTTACAAACACGATGCTGATTAAAACGGTTTTTATAATGTTTAAATGTATTCAAAAGTTTATGGTATCTACAACCCAATGTAAGTTACTTTAAAGTTTCTTTAAATGTAAGGTAACGCTCTTATTACAGTCAACTACATTGTACATTAGAAAATATTCAAGCAGTCCTTACAAGCTGAGAAATGTATATCACATAAGATGCGGCTACAGGAACATCGCCTATCTAAATATGGGAATTTTGTAATAGAAATCTTCTCTTTTATTGTATATTTTAGTTTGATTTTTGCCTTTTGTACAATTGACAGTACAGTTACCCCTTACATCATTAATTGTCATATTGTTGTGATTGCGAGTTTGGATAAATATAATTAAAATAATATAATATAAATATACATATATTTAAATCCACACCAATAGCATGACTAATTCACATACGGTACACTGCTTTGTTTGACTAACTATCAATTAGAACAGTTAATGCGCAAATAAAAACGTACTGTTAAATTGACGAACAACAAAATTGTTGAGTCCGATATTCATATGTTAGGTTTATATTTAGAATTTAAAGTCAATGAAGAGTATCATCACTAAAAAGGTGTATGATCTCCGTAGTTTGTTTAATAGTGAGAATTATTCAATATTAAGCAATGAATCGGCTCGAATGGCTCGAATGTCTTTAGAAGCCGCAAATAAACTTGCATTGTTACTAGTGAGAGCTTACCAGATATCTGTTATCAACACCAAATTCTCCAGTTGATCAAAAAAAACCATTCAGATATATGACTAAAGATAATCGCATAGATTTTTTTTTGTCCTGGAACTTGCAAATACGGTTGATATAATACAAGATAACTTACACTCCCCCTTTTAATCATAATCACTGAATCAACACATTACACACAAAGGCTAGAAACACCCCAAAATGATAAAAACAGGGGTATTTTGTGTTCAAATTACTGTAGGTTACGTCAATAGGACAAACACCAAAAGACACAAAGAGACCCAATACATGCAGAGATCACAAAGTTCTACAATTGAAAAAATGTCATGTTTTTTTACATTTTTCTAAGAAAGTTAAGTTAATATTGAAAATGTATATTAAATTAAATTGAATCATTAAAATATATTTTGTTAAGTACCTTTTCTAAAGAGTAGAACTTGAAGTTTTCTCTCAGCATTTTCAATGTCAAAATCCGTTTCTGGAATTTTTTCTTTCTTACATCTTTCAATACCATCCTTAATTTTTTCGATTTCTGCAAACCCGGCATTTTCAATATATGATAGCAGATTCTGTCTTGCTAGACGCTTGTTTGTTTTCTGTAAAAAGTAAAATTTCTTTTATGAATACTTAGTCTATACAAATATCCCTAGAAACATCGATATCAAATTACATCTACAGCGTATTCTAAAATGAAGAAAAAATGAAAACAAACAATAAACACCCCCATAAAAATGAATCCCCCAAACATACAACAAAAAAGAACAGAAGAATGAAAGCCATAAAACTGAGAATAATTAGAATAACAAGGCTATGTGAAAAAGGTACACAAACATGCTTTTCCTTTAGTTATTGATTAATCAGCTGCACTTACCTCATGAGTGAATTTATGGGATGTTGTCACGAAGTAATTACAAACAACTGTCATGGTAATCTGGTCATCACTGCGACTCTTATGTGTACCAGTGAGAATCTTCAGACCGTAATCACCTTCTTTAACAAGAGTTGTAGTTATTTTAAGTTCTTTTTTCTCAATTGTTGTTACGACTAAGGATGACTGGTCATTTTCATCTGAATCAAATAACTCTGTTCTAACTTCCATAGAGTTGGACATTTCACTGTCAAGAAGGAAACTTAACTTGGTTGGTTTATTTTTATCTGTTGTTACCAGACCATTTCGGTGTGATGGGAGAAGCAGTCCAGCTCTTTCGCTTGTTAGGCCAGGACCAAATCCTATAAGACCTGGATTAAAAGGTGTCAATCGACAGTTTTGTGTTCTTGCAGTACATTTAATTTGAAATTCACACAGTCTATGCATAGATCGTTTTTCAGGAGCTCCGTAAATAACTATTTTATATATTCCTTCTACGGGAAACTGAATGTTAAAATTCCACTCAGAACCATTACGTATTTTTGCAACTAATCGTGGTATTTTATTTGGTTCAAGCATTTCGTTTTCATCTTTCTGATTTGTACCTTCGTCCTTTAGTAATAACTCGTAGTCCATATTTAGTTCGTTGGCTGTCGCTTTAGGTCCTTGTAATGTTATTGTAACAGCGTTTCCTGCAGATTTCAACAAACAGGAGTTTTCAGTTAACAAAGTTAACCCTAATGCCCAAAAAGGAGGCAGTAGATATGCTTGATCAAGAAACTTATCTCTCGAAATCGGCTTGGGAATTAATTGCCAGTTTGAGTCGTCTGGATGACATCGATAAATAAATTGCTTTGGGTCTGGCATAATGAAGTATTCGACGACATCAGTCGTAGCAACACCTGGGTTAGCTATCTGTCGTTTTCCAATAGATTTTCCACCCTTCTCCAACCGTATCCAGCCTCCTCTTTGTTTTCCATACACTGACCCACAAACCCAAAATGGATGAATTATATGCCAGGAATTTCGAAGATAAACAGCGTTCCAACGGCAAGTCATGTCGTTGGGGTTTCTCTTTTCAGGTTGGTATTTCCCTGTCTTAGAAATACCACGAATCTGTACACACTTTATGTTTGCCTGTCTAAACAAAAGTGACGATCGAAATAGGGTATATTTCAAACAGATGCATATCTTTAATTTATAATCTCGACATATTTGAAAATGAAATTTACAAATTATATTATAAAAACGGTTTATGAAATTAATTGTCAAGGACGATAATGCAATTGTTTACATTTTGCAGTGTAATACGGAATATCTGGATTTTTTTTGCACCTACGGTGTTGGTCAACTAAAGTCTGGCCAGGTAAAAACCCTGATTTAAATTGAAACTAAAGAATATATATACTTACAATTATGACAATATAGAACTAAGTTGAAATCGAGCGAAAAAATCATTGTTAAATACGATTCTGTTATTCGGACATTGTATATTAATTTTGCTCTATTATTTAAGTTTAAACGGAATGATATGTTAAATCTTAGTGTCAACATTATTAGGTACACAACACCTTAATGTGAAATTGTAACTTACTAGTACATATGCAATTCTTAGGTCTCCGTTCAAGTTAAAGTAAAATATATAAATCTCAAAACCGTATCACAATCAAATTTGGTTTTTAACTATAAAAATAATGTAAACTAATTTTTTAGGAAAGTTAACATGTTGCGTTTTCATACGTTTTTCATAATAAATTTCAAAATCAAATTTCAAATTTGTCAATTCCCTCTTTTATCTCGTCAGAAATTTAAGCCGCTTGAATCTATTCATTGTCATTCAGTAGTATAATTTTCGCAGTTTTATTTCAAATTATGTTTAAATATAATTGTTTTCACAATATTTTCTATGTTTTGAATGGATGGATTTAAAGATTATGTAAATGCATAAATTTTGTATTTTCTGTTTATTCATCTCTTATTTTGTTTGACTGATGTGTGTGATGTTCTCAAAAAGGGATACTTTTCAGCAGTCATATTACATATACGATTAACTGGAGATAACTACCTGCAAAGTACAGTAAAAAATGTAGAGTATTGGCTTCGCTTCTGTCCAAGAAGACTGAGAAACCCCTTTGGCGTATTTTTTGTTCTTTCCTCAGTTGCAAATGTTTCAACTTTCTGATTACATAACCAGACTAAAATTGCTCTAACCATTATATCATCTCTTGATTCTTTTCCTAGTGCAGGCTTTTCGAGATAAGTAATAAGATCTTCAAACCGATTCAATGTTGATCCTGGTGTCTTCAAAAGAAATATATTGATACCAACAAGGGTGAAATACATTGGAATGTGAATACAAGGAGAGATGTTCTAAACGTCAACCATTTTACGGATGCCATCACGATTGACTGTTAAGTGTTACCTTTGGCATAGATGACTACGGATATGTTCCACTTGTCCTAATCACTATCCCATCCTCTTCTCCTCGATTGTGACATTACCGAACGCGACACATCACCGGATTTTTTACTTGCTTGAACAACAAGAAGGTGTCATATTTATGTAGAGCAGGAACTGCTTATACCTTAGGCACCTGAGTTTTTCCCGGTGTGTTATAAGTTAGTGTTGATCAATCTATTGTTTTCTTTGTTATTTTTGTTTTTCTTTTCAACGTTTTTCTTGTTGTTTATGGGGTTGTCGGCTTTTTTTTCACTACAAACAAGTGTCTCAACCTTTTGGTAAGTTCTAATTCGTCCACAGTCTGTAATGTACTTCGTGTTGATATACTGTATTGCGTGGAATGGATCTAATTGCAATACATATTTCTATAAAATTTTCTGCATTTTGACATATTATTGTAATTCCAATTACTCATCTCATGTAACCTGAAGTAGTTTGACATGACAACTCAGAGATTTACTATCATGCAAAAACTAAAATTGTAATGGAATAAACAAGGTTGCTAAGCCGAAAGGATACGGTCCCCTGACACTGTGTAAATAAGGAATACAATTTTGTGTACAGTATAGAGTTCTGCAACAGGAACATAAATTTGCGATAAGTGGTTTGGGCCTAATTTCAGACACAATTTTGTATTAAAAGAGAGAGAGGAAAGATACAAAACAAAAACTGAAAACATAATGATTGAAAAGTAGACTGTCGTTTTTATTATTATTTCACTAGAAAATAACCAGTGTTATTTGCCTTTTTAATATCACCCTTTCAGCTTACGAAATTCTAAGAAAAATGTGTACTTCTTCTAAGGTACTTCTGACAATCAAATGGATTGAAACCACCAATTAAAAGATTGGATAATTTGAAATGATATTCTCATGTATGGTGGCGAACCGAAAAAAACTTGATATATTACTATTTCATTAACTTTAGAAAGATAATAATTTTCTTCGGAAGATAAAACAAGCTTGTCTCCCTAAATATATTAGACTATTCCGTGAAAAAAACTTTTTTTTATCCTTAATTATTTATCTCTGCCAGATAATTTACAAAATAAATTTATCGCAGTGTAAATCAATGTAGAACAATTTAAGGTATTCTTTTGAGGTCAAAAACTGTCTTATTTTAAAAGTTGTGTATTGAAGGGTGTGATAAAGCGCTTATTGAATTTAAGTCCGGGATGATAATAGAAACCCAGTATGAGTGTATCAAAAAAGGTTAAAGTCCCATAACTCCTGTAGAATGGAATAATCATAATGACGGTATGAAATGGTCAACTAAACAATATTAAAAGCAATCATATTCTGTCAAAAGGTCGATGAGGAGTTGCGCTCATAAATAGCAATGTTACAATAATCCAGAAAAAAATGTTTAAAGTCCCACAACTCCTGCACAAATTGTCGAATCAATATTCAATATGGCAAACGTGATACATGATGGTGAACAACCCCGTTAAATATAAGATATTTCTGTCAGACGCTACCAGAGGAGTTGGGTCAACATTACAATACTCTAAAAACAAAAGGTCAAAGTCCCATAACTCTGGTATAAATTGTCTAGACAAACTGGCTGTACTATATGGTCAACTACACATGATGGAAAACAGTCCCACTGAGCATCATAGTTTTGGTCAATCAATATAAGAGGAGTTGCGTTCACAAGGTTTCCATGTTTCTATACTCCAAAAAATGGCCAAAGTCTCTTAACTCCCTTAAAATTGTCGAATCAAACTGAACTGGTGGTATAAATTGCTCTTCTACACATAATGGCAAATAATCATATTAATAAGGTTGAGAGTTTTTTGTCAACCGGTCTCCAAGGAGTTGCGTTCATAAAGTGTTTCGGAGGAACGAACAGACGGACGGACTAAAAGATAGATGACCATTACTATTTCCAAATCACACATGATAAATATCAGCTAACCTTCTTTGCATGACTATCCAGCTCTGCCTGAGTAATTGGTAATAGTTCTACGGCTTCCTCATTGATTGCATCGTCACTAGATGTATTAGGATCCCAATTATCAAACAGTTTGACTCCATCAGGAAAGTGAAGTTTTTCATTAGTTTTAACTGCTTTCGGATCAGGGTAGTCGTCTTCTATGGCTGAAATATCTACCTGAATCAAAGTGACGATTTTTCTCATTTTTTTAAAAATTAATCAGATTTGTATGTTATGGATTTATTGTCAAAAGATAATTTCTTCATTTTTCGCATAGTTAAAAATCCGTTTTCAATGATCACTTCAATTTTACTTTTCTTGAACTGTTATTTGTAATCTTAATTGTTCACTTTTTGTGTTTTTATTTGTTTTTTTTATAATACTTTTCAAGTCTTGCCGCGAATCGAATGATACATTTGTTAGAATATTAAACTTATTCTAATAATTTACTGTTTACTTTCGCATGGGCCATTATAACCTAGGAATAACCTGGGAATAGTATACTGATAATATATTATATCACAGGAATAAGGGGACGATCATTTGATATCCTAGGGATGCAAAAAATTCATTAATTTTTCATCCTGTCTTGTGCAAAAATAATTTAACCAGGCCAAGTAATTCTATTTCGAAATCCATTTGCCCCCCCCCCCCCCCCGAAATTCAAATGGTCCCCTAATCAAGCATAAGATTTTTGAAATCTGTCGTGTAATACGTGTAATAGTACGAGATAGTATTTGTGAAACAAAATATATCTACCAACTTTTGCACCTCATGTTTGCGGAATACCATCTTTTCCGCAAGTTTATTGTTTTCTGTTTGGTATTATATTTATAATTAAGATCCATTTTGTTACATCTGGTGATCCGTTTAATTGGCAATCGCCATGGCAGTCAGCAGGGTTTAAGAACATCCGTTGTTCGACCTGCTAGTCAAATGCGTATTGTTAAAATATACTTTTTCACTTTTTTGGTCTTTTGGAAAATGTTGTTTGTGCTGTATTTAGACCCCTCTGCCAAGAAATTTGTTTTGCATGCACACGTATAAAAATTGCGGTTTTTATCCCACGCAATCATAGGTTTGAACGTTGTTTTCAATTAAGTAGATATTAGAAGATGTGGTATGAGTGCCAATGAGACAACTCTCCATCCAAGTCAAAATTTATAAAAGTAAATCATCATAGGTCAAAGTACGGTCTTCAACATGGAGCCTTGGCTCACACCAAACAGCAAGCTATAAAGGGCCCCAAAAATTACTAGTGTAAAACCATTCAAACGGGAAAACCAACGGTCTAATCTATATAAAAAACGAGAAATGAGAAACACTTATGAACCATATCAACAAACGACAACTACTGAACATCAGATTCCTGACTTAGGACGGGTGAAAACAATTTCAGCGGGTTTAAACGTTTTAATGGTACATAACCTTCACCCTTATCTGAAACAATAGTGTAACATCACAACATAGAAAGACACACTATAAAATATCAATTGAAATGGCTTAACTCAATCAAAAGACATATTAACACCAGTGAACATACACTGAACAAATAAATTTGATCTATGATACAATGTAGATACAAAAAAAAATAAACTAAGGGAAGAATAATTAAAGTAACATGTTATACCGCTGTGAAATGTTAAACAATTTAAGAAAAAAAAATATACTTGAACAAAAATATCAGCCATTTGCAATTACTTTAAACACAGGTAAATGAAAATAATTTTGTTGTTAGGTATACGTGTACAGTTCAAATGGAGAAAGGAAATATTTTTACAAAATAAATAATTTTGATGTTTATAGTACGAAGAAGTGAAAATATATAGTAATACCAAACACTTATCAAAGCTGGTATATAGACCAGATATAACCCTGAAAAAGTAAAATAAATAATTAAAAAAGCATTACAATTAGTATCAACAGGTCAAATAAACAAGAAAGTACGATTTGAGAGTACTCGCAGTTACTGACAGCTAGTTAAAAGCCAAAAACAATTAATAATAAAAAATCATGCATCAGAGACTAAAATCAACTAAAACACATCCCAGGGATTTAGTATTTTAACGTCATGGACAATCAAAGAAGACATGACTTGTGCAATGTCAAAAATAAATGTATCGACAGGCAGTAGGATAGTTAGGAGTTAACCTCTTTATAGATCAAAATGAACGTGGGTGTTTCTTTATACATCCCGTTTGAAAAGAATACAAATTTAGTTATGTTTTAGTTTGCTGATGACAAAATCGATATTAGTGCCAATGTAAACTATATTCAAAGATCTAATTACAACATTGGAAAGATAACCTTTACTGATAAGTTTGTTTAAAGGTTCGATGAGTTTACACGGATCACATAGTGATTTCCGCGCTTTAAGTACAATATTACCGTAAAATTTAGGATGTGAAATACCGTTTTTAATCAGTTTTCTACATGTACAGCCAAATTTACTTATCAAATCTTTGTATCTATTAAAGAATTTAGTAAAAGTTTTACGTAATTAATGGTAACGAAATCCCTGACTTAATAATTTACCAATGATGCATTGATTACGTTCGTTAAAATCTATGACATCACTACACACACGGGCATAACGAACGAGTTGGGATATATAAACGCCGTGTGATGGAGCCAAAGGAACATCGCCGTCTAAAAAAGGAAAATTAATAATAGGGAATGAAAAGTCGTCTCTTTTTTTTCGTAAATTTTAGTATGGAGTTTTCCTTTAGAGATTAAAATGTCCGAATCTAGAAAAGGACAACTACTGCTGTTTATGTTAGATTTAGTTAAAGTAAGTTCTTTTGGGTAAATTTCGGTAGTATATTTAGAGAACTCTTGATTATTTAACGAAAATATTTTCCAGATAACGGAAGGTATTGTTGAATGTATCAACCAAATGTAACAATGACGTGTCTTTACTGAGTTTGGTCATAAACAAAGATTCATAGCAATACATGAATAAATCTGCTATTAAAGGGGCGCAGTTAGTGCCCATAGGAATACCTACTACTTGTCGATACAGTTTATCGCCGAAACGTACATATATGTTGTCCAGGAGAAAATTTAAAGCTTCAATCATATCTTCACATTTCCAGTAAGTGTATCTAGCATACTTTCCTTTTTCGTTACAGAAAAAGGCTTTAAACGAGTTACAGCAAATAAATTTGCAATGAGATTTTTCAAAAGACCATTTAATTAAATATTAAAACTTATTCTTGATAAGATTGTGTGGAAGTGTAGTATAGAGAGTAGAAAAATCGTAACTGTCAACAGAATTAAAAGGACCATCAAAAGCATGTATTTTATCTAAAACCTCTAAAGAATTTTTAACACTCCAAAAACAATTAATACCATTATTTTCATAAGCTTAATTACAAAAGTTAATAACAAGTTCTTTAATAGAAGTAAGGGAGGTAGTTAGAAGCACGGATAGATTGGTAGTAGAACACTTACTAGTTGCGGAGATGAAACGGAATTTAAATGTTTTTTTGTGCAATTTAGGTAACCAGTACATAGTAGGGACTTTCAAATTATCGGAAGAGTCTTTAAGCTGGGTAGTGGCAGTGATATGCTTGTTTACAATTTGACTCTCTGTGGAGCGTACGGACCTGAATGTAGAAGAATTTATAATTTCGTTTTGGAGAACTTCCGTGTAGTATATGCGTCACACCACCACTACATTATTTGCTGCTTTGTCTGTCGATACGAACAACAACCGATTTGCGAGGACTTGGAGTTTATTATTTATTCTAGAAATGGGAATATCATGGACCCTATTACTAATTTCAGAATTGTTTTCAAAATGAGATATACGAATATTAACAGTATTCATAATTTTATTCAAATAACTGTCTAGAGATTTTTTATCAGATTTTTCACGTTTACACCAATTTTTACAGTAGACAGACAGAGCGTCTTTAATGACCTGACGACACTCTTTCCAATCTATTTTAGATGGAGGACGATATTTCGGGGCATTTCTTAAGCAAAGTTATGACCTCACGGTCTTCGACGATGTTGAGGTCTCCTGTAATAACATGACCATAGGGAACATATTTAAAACTAGATGTTTCACAGTCTCAAGTGGAAGGGACATTATTTTCTATATTGACGTCTGATGTAAATGACGTATAATTAAAAATCAAACTTCTGCTGTTTCTTTTTAAAAGAATACGAAATAATAGGGGGTTCTATATTATCAAAATATGGAGGTATTTGGCTTTGGATGGTAGAGTCATTGAATATACTAGATAAGTTAATAAAATCAATACCTCTATTGATATATTTTAATTTAAGAAAATGCCGTTTATGATTTTCAGGTTTATCGATACTAGGAAACAGCCTATGATGACAAAAGGCTGTAATAATACGAGTGTATTCATACATTGGTCTAAAAAAAGAAATTTTATCACACTCCAAAAAAATAGCATATAATTTACTTTATATTGGTATCTGACCCAGTTTGCATAATACTTGATGTCTGCCATTATCTTTTATTATAGATAACAGATCAGCAAGTGTATAATTTATACGATGTTTAATACGTTGATTACGGTTTTTGCGTTTGCCATGAGACCTTTTATTTCTAAGTCGTTTATCGACAATATTAATGACATCGATTGAAGTTTTAGTTATGTTCCCCTGTCCTAATATTTTGTAATTAAGACCGAGAGGATAAGCTGTTTGATATCTTTTGATCCAAAATAATTCGCGAACTTCACGTGATTTTTCAAATTGCATGTGTGATTCTCCTGGTTGTTTCTGAACGGTTTCAAGTGGTTGGAATTTTATAAATTTTAGATTGTGATTATGCTTAGGGGACGACCATTTGATATTCTGGGGGGGGGGGGGGGGGGGGGGGGGGCAGGAGGATTTTGAAAATAAATAACTCAGCCTTGATAATCACAAAAATAAATGGTTTGTTCTGTGGTAGTTTGAAAATAAATTACCTGACTTGCAATGTATTGAAAATAAATAACTCAGCAGGTCTAATCGAAAGTATGAGATGGCACCAGATTCTTCATAAATTCATCTTTTTTCAAAAAAAAAAATCCGGAAACACTTCCCATATCTTTTAATAATAAAAGTATAAATATTATTTAAATATACTTGAAATGTCAGAAAATTGGTTTCATTTTACTTGAGGTTAATTGTCTCAGGAACACTTACCTTACTTTTATTAAACCAGGGCCGTAACTACATTGAGACAAATGCCTCATGTAGGAAATTTCAAAACCAAACGCTTGTCTCCATATCAAATTGTGTTCACCGTGAGTGCCTTGCAAGAAGCAAGTTCTGTTCTCCCTCAGACGTAGCCCCTAATTTTTCGGGATCAATGTTTCTTATTTATTTGTCTTTTGTTCATTGATTGCCCTTCTGTATTCTGTTAGTGTCGCATTCATTTTGTAATTTAGTAATTTTATTATTAACTTGATCATGAGTTTAAAAAAACACAGCAGCCACAGACTTAATTATGTGAATTACATTTTTGCTTTTAATATCATGCATATTTGTCTTTTGATGTTGTTCCTAGAAACTTAAGTCTTACACTGAATCTATAACGTGATTTTGCTTTGAGACCAAAATATTGTCATAAAATTATTAAAACAGAACTTGCATTTTCAGTTTAAGAAAGGGTCTGGGGAACACCCAGAAGGCATGATTTTGCATCATTTGTTCTATAGCTTCTTGGGCCTTCAGCGGTTCAAAAACCCTTCAAAAAAAATTTTGCCTCGCTCCGCTCGGCGAAACATGTTTACCAATACTTTTAAAAGAGCCTTAGTTACAACCAAACTTCAATACTGTGTATGTATGCAGTACATGTATATGCATTGGGGGATATAGAAGATTCATTTCTGCAGAGGATAATAATTAATTCTGATTAAATGGTACATAATGACTTGACTATACATGAATTATTTATAATAAACAAATAATTTAAAAATTGTATGTTTTCGAATATTATAAATATAGTTGTGAAAATAAATAATCAGTCCCTTGCTTTAATGAAAATGAAAAATCTTGCTTCAATAGTGCAGAAAATAGATAATCTGTCCTCTTAGTTTACAAAAATAAATAACCGATCCAAAACAAATCCTCCTGGCCCCCCCAGAATATCAAACGGTCGTCCCCTTAACTAAATGTTGATAAATCAAACTTTTGAATTTTTTAGGTCTAGGAAAGCAGTAAAGGTGTTCTTGATTTCTTTTGTAATACTTTCGTCCCGTCTGTCCCACATATTGAATACCACACTTAGGTTGGGTTCAAGTTACCACATGTATAAGGTTTTGAGTTTTTCAGGTAATGTCACAGGAAAAGGAGAGCGAAAAAGCTCTCCCGATCACTGTCGACCTTACAGTATTTTGTGAAGTTAATCTAAAACAGGTTAGTCACTTTTTGACATTGCACGGGAAAATTTGTGGATATCCACGTGCATTTTAGTTAAACAATCTGGTTGTAGAGGCATAACAAATACACGGCCGTCACTCGGCTAACCGAGAGAGTGGTCGGTTAATCTATATTGAGTATGCGGCTATATGGGCGGTTGGTCTGTTAATCGGGTCGGTTATACGTCTGTTAAGAGTAAAACCCACAATTTAATGTTAAACTCTGTTAGATATACAGATTTTTGGCATATTATAAGAGCCAAATCAAAAAAACAAAAGTGTCTGCCAAAATGATATCTATCATAGAACATTTTCCACCTGTAAAAACATTTCATAGCCTGCGCAGTTTTCAGTAAAACTAAAAGGCGTCGCGCAAGTATGTGGTATTTATGCTTATACGCATAGCAATTTTTTGGATAAAAGGCGAAATTTTTTTTTAGATATCATTTAAAGTACACAAAATAGTACTTTGGTTCTAAAAAATAAATTGACATTAGTAAGTATTTCATAATTGTAATATAACTTGAGTAATACCACATTTTAGTGAATATTACGGGAATAAAGTCTGTTAATGGGTTGGGCAATTTAAATTGTGTCAGTTAAGAGTTATTAAGCAACGACAATAGTTTTGCTACCTTTATATTTTCCCATTGATAAAGTTAAGAATGAGATGTACTTGTGTAGAAAAAATGACAATACGGTGTAACAGTATCCTTCTAGTAAGATCATTTTTATTTTGAATTTCTTTGCATTTTATTGAAGGGTGTGTCACTTCAATATAGCGTGATATGGATTGGCCGCTGGAATATGCATGAATTTATTATTTACGTTATCAATCAGCCTTATTTTTGTGTCTGTTCAAAGTCTTCAACATCTATGAATCTGTCATGTCTTGCAATGCAGCTGGTTAAATTCCATGCGTTTCCCGATATGCATTGTCTTTTCTACCTAGTCATCATTGTCATTTTCTGCCTAAGGAAATGTCTGTACCAAGTAAGGAATATGAGCGTTGTTTTCTATTCGTTAGTAAGACATGGTTCTAAACAATAAATTGATGTTTCATTGTTCAAATGTTGTTTCCGTATATTTTAGCCACTCGTCTTGAGCATACCCATTTGTTCCGATAACACCCCATATAGCAATCAAATTATACTTTTATTGCCATTCATATCTCTTAACAGACCAATTAACAGACCTGGTTTTATACATCCGACCCATTAACAGACCAGGTTTTTAATAAAAATTGATTTATGTCACCAAAATACAGATTTTCGTGTAGATTTTTCACATACTGATATTAATATGGTTAACAAACATAATGCCTGTCTTTTTTCGATGTTCAAAATATTGCATGCAAGTAAATTCAACCAACTTGTCATTTTGTGTACATTTTGTGTGTGTAAAATGTGAATAAATTTATTGATGAGTAACCCGCCTTTTCGTTTTATAAATAGTTTATCGAAGCTAGAAAAAAAAATTACACCGTTGGATTCTGTACACTGAATTGTTTTGCCAGACATGAATAGTATTTATGATAAAAATATATTTAAAAAGTTATACAATAAAACATACTGACCTTGCAATAATTTTCTCGATAACACCTGATTAACAGATTTTATCCAACCCGATTTACAGACCAACCGCCCATATAGCCGCATACTCAATATAGTTTAACCGACCAATCTTTCGGTTAGCCGAGTGACGGCCGTGAAATACGTTTGTTTAAGCACGTGGATATCCTAGAAGTTGTGTTGTTAATAATTTTCTTTCCATTGCGTAAAATCATGATAATTAAATAGGGGTATAGGAAAAATAAAAAAGACCAAAGGTTGTAACATTGATTAAGGATCACAATTACGGAATAGGAAATAATAGGCAAAGCAGTAAAAAAAACTCTTACAAAAACTGTTATAAAATGCCCGACGTAAAGACTTAAGACTTGTTTATAATATAACAGTGATATATTAACGAAATTTTTTTAACTTACATTGACATTATAATATTCAAGGACTATAGTTTAGAACTGTTGGTGAGCTTCGTTATACTGAGAATATTTCAGTGGAAGAAATGCACATGAATGAATCTTAAAAATTTCTAGAGACTTAATTCATACTTTCACGATTTTTAATTATTATAACGGATTATCAAATATGTGATAACATAGATTATAACACGCCCTTTTCCTTTTCGGCCCTGAATCATATGAGTTATCGGATAGCGCATTGGGATATGTGGGAGTCTCGGGATGATACCAGGGCCGATATGGAAAAAGACGTCGTAATCTATAAATATTGAACGATTTCATAGCAGGGGAAACTTATAACGCATCCAAATTAAAGTTTTTTTCTTAACGTTTCTAATGATAGGTATCCAAAATTCGTCGAAAACTTCATGTATGTAGTCTAATATTTACAGTTTGAATCAGTTCTACATGTAACCTCTAATAAATTATTCCTTGAATAGTTCTACCCTTGAACTTCTAATATTTCCGTTATTATTATTACAAACACTTCTATTTAAAAAGAAAATTTTACAAGTCGAGGAGCAGTTACATGTTTTACGGGTAAAATATTTGGATTACCCGGTGACCATTTTATCTGTCATTATACAATCTTATGTATTGATATATTTGTTGTTTACTATCATTAGGTGGGCTCAGGACTTTTGCGCGTTTTTAGCTGTATCTCGAAAGGATATTTGCGCTCCAAACACTACGCGCTTTTAACCTATAAAATCTTGGTGAGTTGTAATCATTTAAGACGTAAAGCTACTGCCATGATGGAGTGTGGCACTGTTAAAGTCCACAATTCATCTAAAGTCCACAACACCACTAAAGTCCACAACAAATTTCCGCTAAAGTCCATAACGCCGCTAAAGTCCACAAACTTTACTAATGAGAGCGCTTTGTCTAATGTGTAGTTATATCTTAGTATTTCTTGAGAATGTAGTTTTAATATGAACACCTATAACAATAATCTGTCTTTTTCAAGTACTACAGATTTGCAAACGAATAAAAGTTAGGACAGGCAAACTAACATTACCTCATCAGAGTCACCCTCAAATGGAAAAATGAAACCGTCAAAGTCTGATGATGTATTCATATTATCATCAGAAGGGCTTCTTGAAGATTCTTGTTTTTCTTCCGTCGGTGTTGTTGAGATTTCTGATTTAGAACAAACGTGTCCCATCTGCAATTGAAATATTTCTATATAATAACTAAAGATTTCACAATTTACATCCATGACAATTATCATGTATCACCTATACCATAGTTTCACGTTTGCCCGCTAGATCTCTTTTTGTTTTTTATTGTTCGTTTGCTGTCTCATTGACGTTTATATCTCTTTTCATTCATATGCATTCTTTATCTATTGGCAAGTGTCTATAACATTACATATCATAATCAAGCTCTTAGACTACATGAAGCCGAATTTAGAAAAAATCTAAACAAATTGAACGCACAAGGACTATACCAATATATGTTACGTAATTAATATTACATACGTTTATAAGTCCCCCCTCAAAACACAAATTGAAAGAATGCGTCAAAATTGAAACTTCCTGTTCAGAAAGAAGAAGAGTCGATATAAATACAGGTATATTGTTTTAAGGGGAACATCACACTTTTAAATAATAAAATCAAATTAATTCTAACCAAAAGTTAAGAAAAATGCTTGCATGGTTGGCGGTTGTGGCTATTGTGTCATAGATTATCGTAGTCAGAATTCCTTGTTCCTTTCTTCGTTTATGGATATCACCGAATGTAACTTATCATACTAGGATTTATACATATGAGCAACATCAGTTTGTAAGGAACAGCTTATATATAATTACTTGCATTTCATATCGTGATTTCCTTGAGGGTTGCTGCTTACAAGGAAGCTATTAAACCAAGAGTTCCAAGTAGTGAAGATTAAATCATCCCTTCGTAAATTTTACGGACACCATCACGAGTTGGTTGACCGTTATGGAATATCCCTTTCACAGATGATAGCGGATATGTTCCAATTGTCGTAACTTCAATCCCGTCCCCTTTTCCCCGAATTTGACATACCGAATTAGACTTATTAACGGGTTTTTACTAACATGAGCAACACGACGGGTGCCACATGCGAAGCAGGATCTGCTTACCCTTCCGGTGCACATGTGAACACCCCTAGTTTTTAGTGGGGTTCGTGTTGCTCAGTCTTTAGTTTTCTATGTTGTGTTTTGTGTACTGTTGTTTGTCTGTTGGTTGATCTTTTTAATTTTTTAGCCATGGCGTTGTCAGTTTATTTTCGACTTATGAGTTTGGATGTCCCTTTGGTATCTTTCGCCTCTCTTTTATAACAAAACAAGTATGTCGTAAGCGGAGTTTTTGTTGCTAAATATTTAGTTTCTGTGTAATGTTTTGTGTTCTGCTGCTGTTATCATCGTTTTTCTTTGGTCATAATATTGTCTATCATACTTCGACTTACAATTTTGACTGCCTTTTTCTTAAAAGTTCAGTGATAATAATACTATAATACAATATGTAAATACATATTGAGAACTATAACGTGTTGAAGTTAAATGAAAATACTTATTCTTGATCTAGGTCGACTAGCTGAGTCGGATATTAACGAGTTACCTGAGTTGTTACAGCTCAAAAAAGTTATGCAGTTCCTGTTCGATACTCTTACTATTGATGACCAGATCACTGAGTTGGAGATGTCGACGCTCTTGCTTTAAGCTAGTTTTTTAGCAGTTTTATTTATATAAGACTAATTTACTTCTACTTGTTAGGTTATATGTGCAAAGTTTTGTAATAAATAATTATCAGAAAATAATAAAACATTTTACAATTGTTCGTGATGACCGATTTTTGGATATGCTTCGTTGATGCAAAATTCAACGATACAAAATACAAAACGACTTCTTGAAGTAAATAGACGGTCTTCAACTGTAGACAAGTGTAGTGTTTGAATAACAAGTCAAGATCTTAGACTATATCGCCCGGATTCTAGAAAAGTATTGGATGTATTACACAAAGACCATCGAAGATCTTCCATTAATGCTAAAATATGTACATTACAGAAAAAAAACCTGAAAAATATATCAAATAAAGGCATCCATCGATAGACAGGTTCAATTTTTTTTTAAATCTTAGCCTTTCCAGTTTTAGTCTCGATCAGTAGAATATTCACAAAACATACATACATGTAGAAAGCACATCTAAATACAAATACGAACTGGAAAATCATAAAAACATTATCATAGATATCAAAGTATTCTACAAACAACACTCATATGTTATTGTATAATGTAAAATTTACAGGACAACAGTTAGTTTCCAGTGATAATTTTGTTGAAAAAAAATGAAAAAGATTTACAGTAACATTTACTTAATAATTTCAGGTATCATCGATATCTTTTCATTGTAAGTTTATCTGAGTTTCATCTTACTTTAAATTGATATTCATCTGACCGTTGAAATGTTTATTAATGAAATCTAATAAGCAATTTCCGAGAGAGAGAATAAAGTAAAATAGCAAATATGACTGCGTTGAAGCAGGAATGTTCTTTTTTTTAAATGATTTTTTCCTTTCAAAGATTTTCAAATTATACATTTGGCTCTGCCTCTAGAAAAATTTTAAAAGCATGTGGTCAATTTAAAACAGATTTCAAAATCAACAGTAGATGCGTGGATTAAGTTTTAAAAACTTTCTTGTCCATGTTGTCCAACGGTAGCAATAAAGAAGTGGTTCTATGAAAATTAATTTTAATGATGAGTCAATATTATGACCTGTAGTCTCATAATTAATACATTAATCAAATAAAAGTACTTACTTTCGCTTTCAATTAAATGTCTTTCGAGCTCTTGGAACGAAGTCGTAAAGTATATTAGTGTGAACACTTAAAATAAGACAGTTATTATTGTTCTACTTTTTGTTCAGTTGTTTTGTTTACGGTTAAGCATGTACATCAGATTAAAATAAATAGTTATTTAGTTATTGGTTGGTTCGCTGATCACTTTAATTAAACATTTAACAAAACCAAATTACTATGTTTTGTATGTACAAAATGCATGACTAAAGTATAATTATACTATTATTATATTGAATAACAATAGGTTATGTGCTATGTTGTGACATTTTTTTTCTTCATTTTTTTTCAAATACATATTTCTGTGTTAAGTGTTCTACGTCATATATTGTCTAATGTAATGATTATTTTGTATAGAAAACCTAGTGAGTGTTAAACTTGTGTCTTATATGTTTGCTTTGACAAAAAAAATATGTGAAAGTAAAGTACTCATTTTTCACTCGCCTGTCAATAAATGAGTTTCAAACAATAAAGTACTACAGAAAATACGGAAATGCTTCTGTTTTGATTATCAATTATGAGGCATATTGATCAAGATTGTGCTAAATGAAAACAAGCAGAAAAAAAGGTGTGATTAATGATGTAGTTCGAATTTAAACTGATACAGAACAAACCGATCAACAGACGAAACATTGACAAACACTTTAAGTCATATGAAACGAGTTTTTTGTAATTATAATGTATAGGAAATTAAGGAACCAATGCATGCATATATACAAAACGCAATCCTATGCACGATTTTTAAATCATTAACTTTCGAGTTTATTGCGTAAGTTTACCGAATAGTGACATTGATAAACAATCAAAACAGAATCATGGACCACGTGAACAAAATGTAAATTAATAGAGCAATGTTAATTTTTTTAAATATACATATATTCCATGCGTTCCCATTTGTGTGAATTAAACTTTTCCACAACAGTTGTTTGATAATTTGGTGTATTCAATTTGTTCTTTAAGAATCAATTATCACTATTTACTCTACAATGCATGTTTTATTTTACATTATTTAAGCACGGTTTATCCCACGCACTTGCGCGCTGTGTGGTAACCGAAGTTCTAACGAGAAGTTTCGAAGTTGAGGTTACTGCATACGCAAAAATATCCGCAAATTATATTTCGGGAATACAATAATTCAATAGCAGCACATTTCTGAAGATTTTTATATTATTAAGATAAAGGATTATTTTTTACATATAAGTTCACATATACTTGTTTTATTGAAAAACATAGTCATTCATGTACACTAAACAAATTCAACTTTGTTTTTTAAAATTTGAAGTGTCATATGACTTTAAATACTCGGACGATGATTTCAGAATTTGATATGTTTTTCAAATACCAGTTACACTACATGCAATAATAGTTTTCAGTATTGTGATATCCTTTACTGATGTTAATGTCAAATGTTTGTTTCATTTTTTTCCCTGGTTTTTATTAACTAGACTTATTATTTGATAATCATATAGGATTTTATTAACTTGATGGTTTATAGTCGGTTGAAATGTATGTCAAATCAGAACATATCAAAAGCCTTTGAACATATCCCTACAGCTTTCATATGTACATAGATTTGAAGACAATTTGTTTAATTAAGAAATGTGGTCAAATGATAATATCAATGACATGTGTAAATATATTGGGCATATGTAACATAATATTTGACATAAAACACATCTTGAGAGAATGTTTTTTTTTTAAAGAATCGGCTAGTTAAATCTATTAACGAATATTTGTAATATTTGTTTTCCTTATCCGTTAAGTCCAGTCACGAGATGTTGAACTCCGTGTGCTTCATGAAGCGTCCTCTGCAAAAACTTTCTTGTTTGTGAGAAAGAAAGTTAAAAATTACAAACAAAGAACCAGTGAGTCACGTGTCATAAATGACACATAATTTACCAATGAAATCAAACAAAATCGACAGTTAATATAATTCCATCGACGAGATGTCGATGTCGCCCTTCCTCCGATCAACGGGGTTTATCAGCAGTTAAGTGTGACAATTATCACCTTTTACAGAAAGATCTGGTCCGAAAAGATCAATAGAAGACCACCACTAGTATCAATATCCATCAATATAATAAGGCACACATAATTATCATTTCTTTATGCTTTATAAATTGTCTTAAAACAATGCTCCCGTTGTCATTTGATTGCGTTGTTTTTTAAATACGCAAAACTAAAATAAGTTATCGAACTATCAGTCATTCGATATCTCATTTACCGCCTATTTTATCCTAAAATTTTACAGCTTTCATATGTACTTTGACAGGAATCGTTTTTTTTCGATCATGACCAAATAAGTTGGGTTTTTTTTGCAATAATTGCATTTAACATATAATACTTTGCACACATTTCAATTGAAATAACATTGAAACAAGATTGAAGGTTATATTAGTCACAAAATTGATGTGACGAAGTAAATTTGTTTTAACATAATTCAAGAAGATTTGTAAACGACAAATACATATTACACTAATGTTGATAGGGTCTCGTATCATGGAAAACCTATCTTTAAAAAATATAAGACAATTGTACCCTGTACAACAAGACGAAGTCTAGACTTATAGTTTTAGCGGAAATGTATATGATTCGTGTTTGAATAATAGAATATCTTGCACTTCTTTCTTATACATATTTTCGCAAAGTCTTAGAATAACTACATGTATCATTTGTCCTTTAACAGCCGAGTCTAAAACATGTATCATTGTACTTGCTTTCCACACAGGCGGAAAATAAGGAAAGAGGGGCAACATAAATAAACTACCGTTATTGTTAAATCGCATTGATAAGTGTTTATAACTCTAAATATGTTGAAATATTAAAGAATATTTTCCAATAAAAAAATAAAACAAAAAAGGTGACAAGCCCCTGTGTCTATATATATATATCTAGGCACATTTCTGATTTTACAATCTTTAACTCGCATGATGCTTATCGTTGAAGCTGTTAATATCAATTCCTTTGGTCCCTGTCAGATAAAAGTATTCGTCCCATTGGCTATCTATCATACGACATCTTTTATTTTACATACAACTCCTCCGTTCACGATGTTGTAATACCTATGCAGGTTGAACTTCAATTTAAAGGTTTATCTATTGAAGTTTTAGTTCTTTGGGTACCAAACGTGACCTTAATAATTTAATTAATTTGTAATTAGTTAATTATGCAAGCTGCAAATCTGCAAGAATCTGTCAATGCAAATGCCTATATATTCAAATGACTATTCAAAATGTGAGGTTAGTTCATAAATTAATAGTCATTGTAAAAAATGCTTCATAAATAAAAAATCACAGGTGGCTCAAATGTAAAAAGAAATGTTAAAGTGAATTGCTTTTGGCAAGAGACACATACTCATTTCATGATTGTATCTACTAATCAATGCACATAAGTTATGGACTAGTACTGCACCCGTATTAACTAGTATTGGGGGTCGCAGGTCATAGTCCAGGTACTAGCCAACAGTGATTTTTTTTATTGTATTTTTTTGTGTTTTTTTTTTTGGGGGGGGGGGGTAGGGGTATGTGAAATACTGCTTTCCTGTGATGCATCTACTTGTTAAGTTTGGTGAACTTAGGGTCTTGTTTGTTAAGACAACAGTTATGTGCTGGAAAAAACTGCAGTTGCTATTTTCATTAACTAAGATAAAGATTGGGGTGCCCTGACCACTCTTACAATTTTCTGTAAAGTTTTCAGTAAAAAAAGAATGTTGACACATATCATATGCTATGAGAATTCAAAGACGATTCAAGTAGATCAAATAAAAATTAACCGATCGTTCCGAGAAGGGTAAAGAGTACTCTAAGGGTTGCAAGCGCAACATGAGTTAAAAGGTTGTCAATCCTTCTAAATTTGCTACTAGATACACTCTTAGCAGATGAGATTAATCTTTAGCACTAAGATTGTGCCAAAACTAATTTATGACAGACTGAGTGCTTCGTTTTTATCAACCAAGTTTCATTAACCATTTACACAAAAAATTAAGTGTGAACGTTTACAACACAAAGACAAAAGTACAGAAATAAAAAATGCTACCCAAGACGCCAGCGGATGAATACCATGAACGAAATGGTCCACAAAAGTAAAAAATAACCTAGTAAGACTAGAACTATGTTAAATGAAAGTCATAAAATGAACTACCCAAATATAAATCTTGTTCATTGTAAATAATGATAATCAAACTTAATATGTACGTAACTTTTATTGTAAATCGTGACTTTTTTGTCATGTGATTTCCTGTCCGTTATTTTTTGTCCCTTATTCTTAAAATGCACTAGTACTTAACTCTGTTATTCATGACATAACGAATAGATATCAATTTCATTTTTAATAATAAGTATAACTTGTTGACAATGTTTCCAACTATACAAAAGAATTTATGAGAGAAAATAATATATTTCAAATCTATTTGTTCCTACATGTATGAATTACGTCGCTTCTTTCTTTTAACATGCATAGGATAAAAGAGGGTCTGGAAAAGGAGGGAGGTGGGTGTTCTTCAATTCTAAACGTTATTTACGCCATTTTTTCTCTATTCTATATAAATTTTGCCCATTATTCTCTATTCTTTATATTCTAGAAGCCCACTTTTCTCTGTTCTTAAATTTTGGCCTATCCTTTTCTTTTCTATTCTTTATTTTTTTAGCCCATAATTCTCTATTCTGCAAACTCCATCCACACCCTCATAGAAGATGTCTTTCTAGTTATCTATGTCTTTTTTTATTTGCACTAAATTATTATGATTTTATCTCTTAATGTTAATTTTTTTTATTTCTTTTTTAAAAGTAGTGTCTTTTTCTAACCTAGGTTTGTATGTTTAATTTTGCTCCAGATTTTTTTTCATTTTCAATGCAGTTTCGTGTTCCCCTGCAAGTGGGCAATTTTTCTTCATAATCCAAAACTGTGTACTTATATATCAAGATAACAAGATACCGAATGGCATATCTACCGATTTCTAAAATTTTTGTCACACTTGTACTTTGAATCGAGTTACATCGGAATATGTAATAAAAAAATGGAGTTCACCATTTTTGTTTTTTCGTAAATTTGATTAGAAAACGTCAATTTTGACGAAAAATTTACATAGGGAAAATGCCTTGTTTTAACTTTTTTTTTAAATTTTTCAATAGATGGCTTTGTTCTTGTATTCGGAGAAAGACTAAAAACTAACATAATATCCTGGATTGTATACTGAATCCATGCATTTAAGATGCATGCATTTTGTATAAGTTGCTATTAGCTTTCAACTAGCTGTCAGTAACTACGTACTCTACGATCTGTACTTAAAGTCTTTTGGTTGTTGGGATGTATAAGTACCCTTCCACGTCCACTCTGTTTTTGTTATATGTATTTTCTTTGTATCCATCTGATGAGTTAAGCCTTTTTTAACTGATTTCTACAGTTTATTCTTATGCTGTACTGTTACACCACTGTTCCAGGTTAAACTGGTCCGCCATTCCATCTTAAGCTTCGCACCATTAGTGTAGCGATAAGTGAAAACAACAGGGGTCCAGTTTATGTCCCAGGTTAGGGGGAGGGTTAAACGAGTTTAACCTCGCCACATTCTGTAAGTTCCTGTCCGAGTCAAATAGCCTGTAATTCAGTTTGTTGCTATGTAACATATTTGTTTTTCGTTCATTATTTTGTACATAAATTAGGTCGTTAGTTTTCTCGTTTGAATTGTTTTACATATGTCATTTCGGGGCCTTTTATAGCTGATTATGCGGTATGGGCTTTGCTCATTGTTGAAGGCAGTACAGTGACCTATAGATGTAAATGTCAGTGTCATTTGGTCTCTTGTGGAGAGTTGTATCATTGGCAATCATACCACATCCTCTTATTTTTTTTTATATATATAGAAACACATATGTCATCATCCTTGTTTTTATATACATTGCTTCAAAGTTGACCGATACGCTTAGAATTTGACAGAACACGTGTGACATTACAGAATAACGTAATTTGGTAAACAGTGATATTGAGGAACAATTTGAATTGATTGATTGATGGTTGCTCAACGTCCGGTGGCAAATATTTCATGCATTTACAGGACGATACAGTGCAATTTGAATTGTTGTGCCTAAAAAACACATTTGGTGCAGCAGTCAAGAAAGGTTAAACATTCTGTTAGTTGTGAAAATTAAAAAGAAAAATCAACATCCTGATACAATACACAATCTAAATATAGGATACTCTGTATGATGTAAACGTTTGGCCGGTTGTGTGCGTAGTTAGTCGTACAAACCTTGCAAACTGTATGCCAAATTTTACTCAAATACACCAAGTTCAACATTCTGCCGTTCGTGAAAAATTATTAAAGAAAAAATGATCCTGAGAATATATATGCACCCTCAATATAGGTAAAAAATAAATCGGCGCAATATATTTCAAAATGCCAAATTTAGCAACCTGTCATAAAAAAAAAGATAAAATTGACAACATGCGAATCTTTAGTGTATGTACTAACACTATGGCGC